ATACAGTGATATTGGTACACAGACATCTACCCTCCCATACAGGAATACCCGGAACAAAGACAGCTACCCTCCGATACAGTGATACTGGGCACACAGACATCCACCCTCCAATACAGTGATATTGGTACACATACATCCATCCTCCCATACAGTGATACCAGGTACACAGACATCTACCCTCCCATACAGTGATACCAGGTTAACAGACATCCACCCGCCCATACGGTGGTACCAGGTTAACAGACATCTACCCTCCCATACAGTGATACCGGGAACACAGACGTCTACCCTCCGATACAGTGATACTGGGTACTGTACACAAACATCCGCTCTACCATACAGTGATACCAGGTACACAGACAACCACCCTCCAATACAGTGATATTGGTACACAGACATCTACCCTCCCATACAGTGATACCAGGTACACAGACATCTACCCTCCCATATAGTGATACCGTGTACACAAACATCCACAAAATCCACCCTACCATACAGTGATACCGGGTACACAGACATCCGTCGTCCCATACATTGATACTGGGTACACAGTCATCTACCCTCTCATACAGTGATACCAGGTACACAGACATCCGTCCTCCCATACAGTGATACTGTACACAGACATCTACCCTCCCATATATTGGTACCGGGTACACAGACATCTACCATCCAATACAGTAATACAGGGTACACAGACATCCACCTTCTCATACAGTGATACTGAGTAAACAGACATCCACCCTTCCATACAGTGGTAGCGGGTACACTGACATCCACCCTCCCGAACAGTGATTTACTGGGTACACATACGTCTACTCTCACATACAGTGATACAAGGTACAGAGACATCTACACTCCCATAAAGTGATACCAGGTACACAGACATCCACACTCCCCTACAGTGACAAAATGGTGACATATATTTCCCCAAATACGTCCTCCTACTCTGTTACATTAAGTGATAATAAAGACTATTTATTCAGGTAAAAACCCAGGTATTACACTTATATCACTTATATTGGCAATCGGACATAGATATATGTTACCACAAAGGATTTTTATAAATTACTTACAATGACTTAGTTAAGTATGTATAGTAGCAAATATCTAGTGAAAATGGTTGTTTTTTTTGTTTTTTTTTAAATCAGTAAACATTTATTTCAGGTACCGTTTCTTGGTTTGTGTGCATTAAATAGTTTTGAAAACCGCCTTTGATTCTTTTACAAATCGAAATCATATTTTAACCGAAGCAATTAAATGTTTATTTATATTGTTAAGGTTTTTCTAGTACAAAACGACTTACAAAATCCGGTGCCGTAATTTAGAACCGTATCCCCCTTTGTGACGAGTAGAGGCGTGGCGACGAAGGAGAGAACGGTACCGAAATTTCTGTCAAATTTTGTGGCTAATGCGAGGATAGAAGTAAGTCACCATTTGTGTACGGACGATTAGACACAAATGACATGACACCAAGTCATTACAAACGACAAACGTTCATTAAGTGTCGTAATTTGGGAGAACAACATTGATTATAACAACAAGCTGATACTAAGGATAGACATATGTGAAACGAAAGTTAGGCTTATAGCAGTAAAATTGAAAATGACAAAACGTTGATATGTAATATATATATGTTATGATGCTTCATGATTTTTGGACAGAGATAGATTCTTATATTGAAGTGATTAGAGATCATTCATAGGGCCAGGTTATACGTGTTTGCTTTCGTTTTATATATGTCTTACATTGAAACCCAGTCAGATGCACTGGCTTCATGTCAGCTCTCTAAGCAGGTTGTGTATTCTATTTTGTTCTTTTTAAGGTCCTTTTTTTGTTTTCAATGGGTTTGAATCGCGAGTCGTGACATATAGTTTTTAAAAGAAAATGTATTACTCAAAAGTGACTGCATGACGATGTCAGAAGTCGCGCGCTATGACATCAGAATTACCTGATGTATACATTATCTATTGTAGCAATAAAAAAGAAACACTGCATTTTAATTTAGTAATTTTACAGTCACGCTTATCACAAGCAGATTCAAATTGAGTCAAAAACAGTTATTGAAACATAAACAATTTCAATTCACTTCCTGTGTCCTTCCATCCGCGCCAAAAAACATTAATACTATCAATTGAAGGAAACCTGTTGGAACGAAAACAGTAATGTATCATTCTCATTTATATACACGACATCAAGTTAAATAGATCCGTACTGATTGAAAATGTGGTTCCTAAGTGTTGTAATATACGTACAGTTTATTTATTCGATGATATCAGAACAAAGGCGATAACAGCGTTCCCTTCTGCTAAAGCTCTACTCTTTTCTGTATCAATTACATCATTTTCATGAAACGAAAACAATTGTTTCACTCTTGTAAGTGTGCAGCAAGTAGTCAATTTTAAGAAATTAGTAAGGATTCCGTTATGAAATAGGCAAGGTGGTTTATTTGACCAGGTATTGATTTTGTACAATTTTTCTCAAGGTACAAAGACACGTCGGTTAACATGGCGGAGGGTGGGCTGGGCCACGAACATTCGTCGGTAGATGGCGCCATGCATCAGTCCCTGGACTCCCACTTATTGGAATGTCCTATCTGCCTGGAGCAGCTACGACAACCAAAGTCACTCCCTTGCCTACATTCTTTTTGTCTTGAATGCCTGGGTAGCTACATCACTAAGGAGTTGTCAGGTAAGATGGCGTCAGCATCTTCTTTCTCCTGTCCTGTGTGCCGGAAGGTCACTGAGCCAGTGAACCAATCAGAAGGTAGAGAGAGTTGGGCCGAGCAATTCCACACCAACAATCTGGCAGTCGAAATAATCCAGCAATTGCAAAAGACAGATAACTCGATCACGTGCAAACCATGCGAGACTAAAGTAAATAAGAATGTCCCGGCGAAGTTTTGGTGTAAACATAACAACTCTTATTTCTGTACAGACTGCAAAATTAACGTTCATGATTTGCTTCATGGAGAATGTGAACCGCAAGACATTTCTAATGTAAACGTGTCGGCTATACTGCAACAGAAGGCCTCAATCACTGGATGTGGGAAACACAAGGAGAAGATGGAATATTACTGTGAAGATCATCAAATTCTGGGATGCAACAAATGCATCATTGTCGATCACCGAAGGTGTGAAGTGGTGACGTCAGCAGAGGATTTCCGGGACAAGTTGAGGAAAAGCTCACAAATCGACGATCTGCTGGAGGAACTTCGGAGAAGCGCAGAGGCCATGGAGATACTGATAAAAGATGTTGGAGAGCAACTGAAAACCATGACACTAGATCAGGACACTGCGCTGCAAAGTTTGACCGACATACGCAAAAAGATCGATGAGCGATTCGAAGTTCTACAGAAAGATCTAACAGACAAACTGATATCAGCCTTCAAAGAAGAAAAAGAAAATCTCGAGATATCGAGACAGCAATGTGAACGGCTGATGTTCTCTATACAGAACACGCTCACGTCATCAGAAGATGCAGCCTTGAGGGACGACACCGTGGGGACAATTTGTCTGTTCCAGAGAGGACAGGCGGAGGTCGAGTCCTGTAAGGAACTCATACAGGAGTTGGAGAGGTCGTCTAGATCCACCAGTATCAAAAATGAATATGACACGGACTTACTATCCGTCGGCAACAACACCAGCTTAACGATGGGGAAAATAGTCGTTAACCAACAGCGAAGGAGACTGCCATCTACTGTGTATAGTAGCATAGTACCATTGTCTGAACGTCAGTTGAAGATGACGGGGAAGTTCACTATCAAAGTTGCTTCAGATAAAAATGACTGTAAGTCGTATGGAGTTGTCTTCCTACCTGGTGGTCGTATTGTTGTCGGAGACGATAAAAATAGAAAGATGAAATTATTTACAGAAAAAGGTGATTTTAAATTTGAGTTGAAACTTACGGATGCATCCTGTGATCTTTGCAGTATTGATAACAACACTGTGGCAGGGATGCTGGACACGGTCCAAACAATATGTGTTGTCAATGTCGGGGATTCAATCTTGACCGTTTCCTCGAAAATCAAGATTCAAAAGCTTGATAAAATCTGTCTTGGAGTCGCATACCACAACAACTATTACACTGTCGGTACAACACAATCACTTTATAGTGTACCAGCAAGCGGAGGGGAACCTAAACAACTTCTCACAATAGGATCAAAATGTTTGCACCTCGCAAGCAGTCAGAAGAATGGACACGTCTTTGCTAGTATCCATACCTCTACCCCAGACGAGGTGGCGGTGCCACTACTGTCGGACGATACCCATACAGACATACTGAAGGTCGGGGTAGTGACAGGTACAACAGGAATAGACGTAGACAGGGAGGGGAATGTGTATGTTTGTGGATCTAGTTCAAAAAATGTCATACAGATGTCTGGGGATGGAACAAACATCAGGGAACTGCTGACGCCATCAGATGGAATTGAACAACCGAGAGCGATTTCTGTGTGGGAGGATAGGATAGTGATCACAAACGAATCGGAAGACCAAAGCAACTTTATACGTTTGTTCCAGCTCGTCTGAATAGTAGGACATCCCGATAAAGTATAGACCGGTGATATATAGATTAAGTATAGACTTGTGATATATAGGATAAGTATAGACCGGTGATATATAGGAATAAATATAGACCGGTGATATATATAATAAAGTATAGACCGGTGATATTTAGGATAAAGTATAGACCGGTGATATATACGATAAAGTATAGACC